TGTGCTGCACCGAGTCATGCAGACAAATTACTAAGCAATTGCTTGTTTAAAATATTTTCCCTAGTAAAGTAAACCAATAGAACTTGTGCATGGATTTATCATAAATGCCATGATACTACTTAGATGAAGTAGTCTGTGATGTATCAGATAACAGACACACCCAACAGTGTGCATAAAATCATCTCATTGGTACAGCTTACCACCACTAAAGAAGCTCCTATAGAAGTAGGAAAATACTGCCATTCAGCCTAAAAAAAAATACACAACATAAAAAATGGATAACGATTATAATAAATAATACCGACAGATAGATAGATAGATAGAGTGAAAAAATAATAATAACAGCTAGTAGAGGCCTTGGGAGCCAACACTTCCGGGACCAACGAACACTTTGGTTCTTTTTTTGGGGGGGTTGTAAAAGTATATATATATCTCTAAAAAAAAAAAAAAAAATTGGATGGCAGGGGGGGATGGAAGGAGGAGTGGGATGGGGAAGCCTAAGGGAGAAAATGGGAGGTAGGCATGACAAAGGGAGGGAGTTAAGGGAGGCAAAAGGGAGGGGGAGTTTTCTATAGTTTGAAAAGACAAGTGAACTGGAGAGAGAAATAGAGATAGAGACTAGGAAAGAACACACTTGGGGTATACAAGAGGTGGAAGAGAGATGAAAATGTGGCCGTTTAGAAATGTCAGAACCAGGAGTGGCGTGTTGATCAGACCCTCCTTTGCCAGCCTGAACCAGGTGCTGATATAGCAGATTGTGAAAGGTCGCTACTGTACTTTGGGCTCTAAATAAGGCTGGCATCATGAGGTATGGTATTGAAAAAATAAAATAGATATACAGAGACATTATGATTAATGTCTGACTTTGGGAGGGTACTAAAATATCTTTGTCATTACCAATGCAATACAATTTTGTGAGTAAGTGCAAATAAATCATAGAACTAAAAGTTAATAATATGCAAGCAGTAAACACACTGAACTTCACTAAGTAAAATCCTGAGGACACAGGGAGTTGCTTTGTAGTATGTGGTATCACAAATCTCAAGTCTAAATGTAACGGCAAAACAAATCTGACCATGAGAGAATCCCTAAAGTCAAGACTGATAACAGCAATTCATCTGATATCTACTCTACAAGGACTGATCATAAGTTTGCTGGTCTGAAAGTATGAAAGTTTTTTTTTTTCAGAAAAGAGGCACAAGTAAAGTTTTATAAAATGAACTACGTGGGATCTAGATGATATTAATGAAAGATAACCAAATAGCAAAACTGAAAGGGAGCATGAGAAGCCATTCATTCATACTAATGGAATGTGATGGGAGACATCGTATCTCTCAGTCTGTCTGTGCCCATTTAATATCTATCATATATCTACTCATCTATTTAATCATTTATCTTTTAAGTAGCAGGTTTAAATCTGATGGCGAAAGAGTGAACGAGTGAGTGAGCATGTGTGTGTGTAAGCATGAGTTAAAGGGTATATATATATATATATATATGTTTCTGAATGTAACATACGCAAAGGGGTTTATGCCTGTACTGCTGAAGGAACAGGTGTTTCCACCTATGTATTCTTCACATATATAACGGCAATCCTTCAGTCCCATTTCTTGATTGTCAGTAACTTTCCTTTTATTGTCTAACAAAACTCTGTATATGTATAAACACTGCATTAATTAGTGTTACCAAGTTTATGTTACGTTGGAACTTATCTAACGTTAGCGTGAGAACTTTGTTAGGCAGCTAGTGGGCAGGTGGGCAGTTGGGCGAGGGAAAAGTTAGGCAGGTAGAGGTAGCAAGTAGGTGAGAAAGGTTGGGTGGTTGTGGAAGTGGTCGTGATTGTGGTGGTGGTGGTAGAGGTGCATAATTAGCAGCGACAGCGGCAGCAACAACAGCAGCAGCCTGGCACAGTGGTGAGTAACAGTGCCAGGTGGGTGGGTGGGTGGTGGTGGTGACGACACAAACACAGCTAACTGACTGACTGACTGACTGTCTGGCCATAGGAGTAAGGACTAACATGGACGTTGGTATGCGGTAGTGGCGGCCCCCCCTCGGCCGGTGGATGATGTTGTTGATGTTGTTTGTCTGGAGTTAGTCAGAGATATGAACGTACTGGGACTTGGGCGTGGAGGGCGGGGAAGAGGGCGGGGTGGTGCTGGAGACCTGCGGCCGCGGCAGCTGCAGCGCCCGGCAACTCTGCTGTGTAGGCCAAGGGGTGGGGCGGCCACACGTCGGGGGCGCCCGGAAAGAACGCAGGGTTCAGCTCTACTGAAACACAAACGAACACGGTCACCACACGCTTAGGCTTACACGCATCCTCTAATAAACACATCACTAGACAGGGAGGTCAATTACCTGTGCACACCACTACTGTAGCATTCGTAGTGTACAGTCTCTGTGCATCAGGTGGCTCACTACCTGTAAACTACAGTACCACTACAAGCAGTACTTACCTTGCTATTTAATAATAGCCTCTTGCTTATTATTAATACCCTTTAATCACTAAAAGAACATGCATCAACAAGTCCGACTTCGCATCTGTTCACATTTATTACTCACATACAAGCACCTACAAGCATGTAAATAATGTCTGCTGCTCCTGTAGCTGAACCTTATAGAGTAAACCCAATGACAGTTAGCTCACCAAAAAGCCATACTGAGAAAAAAAACACCAGAGAGACAAATGAATAATGCATTTTCAAGCTCCTTACACTATCAATTTTTGGTAACATGGAAGAAAAGCAGCAGCAGAAGAAAAAAACGTGATCCACATCATCTCGACATGTCGTTAACATGCAGTTCTCGGACTTGTTGCAAATGAGACGAGAATGTTCACCGCGAATGAACGACGACAAGAAATAGTGACAAGGGAACGACCCAGTAGCAGGTAAACAGCGACGGAAACGGATGGAAAGATATCTGAGGCAGTTTGATGGCAGGGCGTAGGTGGTACGAGTGGGGGAGAGAGGATGGGGATGGTCGGAATGTGGGGGGGGGGGAATAGCGTTTCAATAAAGCCAAGTGAAGGATAGAGGGGTGAAGGGAGAGCACAGAGGAGGTGAAGGGAGAGGAGGGAGGAGAAGAATAAGGAGGAGGGAGGGGTAGACAGGGGGAGATGGAGAGGAAAAGGGCGTGAGGAGGGAGGGAGGGAGGGAGGGAGGAGAGAGTGAGAGAGAAAGAGAGAGAGATCGGAAGAGCCCTGCATAAAATTTTATCTCGGACTGACTGAGCCTGTCATTTTGCGATGCACGAAGGCGGGGCAGAAGATGAAGAGAAAGGAACAGGAGAAAGAGAAAGAGAAAGAAAAGAGAGAAAGAGAGAAAGAGAGCGAGCGAGCGAGCGAGCGAGCGAGCGAGCGAGCGAGAGAGAGAGAGAGAGAGAGAGCATGAATTGCTTGGAGTAAGGAAGAGGGGAAAAGGAAGGGAGAGGAAGAAAAAAAAAGGAAGAAAAATGAAAAGAAGGAGGAACAGGAAGATGAGGACGGAGGAGAGAAAGAGGAGGAGCGTGAGGAAGAGCAGAAGAAAGAGAAGAAGGAGGAGGAGGAGGAGAAGAGCGAGGACCACTCCTGCCGCCATGATCTATCATACCACCATCAACGGCGGCGCTTTGTCGAGTCGTCCCGGGCCGGCGGGACTCGAGCCACAAGGGCTTCGAGGAGCAGGCGGCCACAATGAGAGGTCTTGGCGGGGCGGGACCTCTCTGCGCCACGGAGACCCCCTCTGTGTGGCGGCCTTCCCGGACCACCCGGGGGAAGGACGAGTTTAAGGTCATGCGTTTTTGTTTTTCTTTCCGGCGTTTGGAAAAAAAAGTCGCCAAAAAACGACAAGGAAAGGAAGGGAGGGCGGAAATCTGCGCCTTTACGGGAAAAAAACAAAGTTGATATCCAGAAAGATCACCGCGGAAGATGATGAATATCGACCGTGCGTATCCGAGAGTAGAAATAGACGAGTTATAAATGAAGCCACCGGTAACGAAAGTATGTGAATGTGATTAAAAATTCCTTCCGATAAAAAAGACGCCTAACGTGTGGCACTGCATATACGAGTAACGCCCCCGTTGTTTTCTACTTGGACGCCCATGCGGTCCACCCACACACACACGTCTCTCCGGCACATCACAAAGACGCAATTACCCTAACGGGAATGCAAAGGGAAGACTTCCATCATAACGGAACGCGCGCTATCCCGTACCTCGCTTTGGGACCGCCACACCTACTCTACAACGAACGGACGAATTTCAATATAAATACGACCAACAATCACGAATAAGTGACGTTCTGGACCGGGCCTTCCAAGAGACCTCAATGCCCCCGACGCAGGACCGGTTCGAGCGCCCGCCGCCGCCGCCCGCCCTCGCAACACGGAGCCGCACGGCCCCTTCTCTCGCCCCTCGATAGTCGTGGGCTGAGGGTCGTCGCTGTCCACTGAATCCAGAAACAACTCGATCCTAAACTTCAATACTAGAACGAAACATTTACGTCTGAATTTTTTTTGGGGGGAAACGTCATCAAAAGCAACTCGAGGAGAAAGACGTCTTAAGTGAAACGCGGTTTGACGGAAGCGTAGAGTTTAATCGGGTCTGCGCGCGAACAATGCTCAATTCTAAATATTTATTACTATTGTGACTATCATTATTATTATCAATATTACAATTATTATGACCAATATCATCATTATCATTAATATTATTATCATCAGCAACATCATTATCGCCATTATTATAATTATTAGAATCATCATCATTATCATCATTTTCATTATCATCATCTTTTTTCACCGTACATCACACATTTCCTATAGTATTCTTTCCGACCTGAAACTTATCAACCTAACAGAAACGAACGGAATGAAATACAATGAACAGACAAGCCACAATTTGACTTATGCCGCAAGAGCCTGCCACAACAAACCCTAAATTATTATTATTATTATTATTATTATTATTATTATTATTATTATTATTATTATTATCAATCATCTTGGAATATCGGCTGAATACCAGAAGCCCTCTAGTTACCTAGGCTGCCTGTAACGGAAGGGTTCTACAACTACTGTACCTGTAACCACACTTACGGGTTTAAAGGAATAAGCTACACAATTACCCAATGTTATAAAACATGCGATCAGTCATAAAAGTTATAACAATAATAATCACACTATAATATTGTATGTCAGTATCAACAAAAATACAAGCATAGTTATAGTTCTAATAACATACAATGACTAACATTATAACAGGATAGTAAAATAGTAATAAAAGTCATCACCATCATCGTTTTCACATGAGAATATGTAACGGACAATATCTAACTATGTTACTTCAAGCAGCAGAGGTTCATAAAACATGTGATCTAGATAATAATTGTGTTTACATATGTATGTATGTATGTATGTATGTGATATATATATATATAATATATATATATATATATATATATATATATATATATATATATAATGTGTGTACATGTACATAAACGTAGAAGTGTACATTCGTACGTGTTTGCTGATATAAAAGTAATTACAAAAGAAAAGATGGTGACGATAACAAACAATGATTTTAAGGAAAAAATGAATGCATCAACAACAGCAGCAAAACCCTTCAATACTAAGATATTGTAATCAAGTACCATAAAATTAACAAATATTCTCAATATCAATTCTTATATTAATAAAGACCTTTGCTAATACCGTTCTACAAAATTCAGGAACAAACACCGGCAACAGTGATTCCGCAACCTTATCCTTCTACAGAGAGACATGAGGAGAGAGAAATAAAAAGCCTTATCTATACATAATACTATGACATGCACAGCAGTAGGCCTACTCTGGAAGAAAAAGATTTAAATGCAACCGAACACTGGGGGGTTGGGGGAGGAGGGGGAGGGGCTAAGCGACCTGGTTTTCTGGGTCAAGGAATACCCTACGTGAAGCCCGTCCTGGTCGGGGCATCTTCTATGACAGCTGTTTCGCTAGACCCGGTCGCTTCTTGGGCGAGATTCGAAGGTGTTAGGGTGGGGTGAGGGGTGGGGGTGGGAAAGTGGAGGTGGGGAATAGGGTAAGGGGAAGGGAGAGGGGTTGGACGAGTGATTAGAATGGGACAGGGGCCAAACGGGGACTTGGCGCTGTTATCAGAGAAAAAGTAGGAAACTGCACATCATATATATATATATATATATATATATATATAATATATATATATATATATATATATCATTTATGTATATGATACACATATATTCCAGTTAATAACCGACTTAAAGGGGGTGGGGGACGGGGGGAGGCGTCAGCAAGGGCACGAAGCTGTCGGTCGACATTACATCTTACTAAATTACAAAAAATACACATGCCTACTGTCAGCATACAAACCGCACACCATAGTGAGAGATACTTGGCGAAAAACCTGTAGGCCAGGGAGTAAAAAAAGGGAGATTCAAGGGAGGAGGAGGGATAGATTCAAAAATGTATCACTAAGGTGTTACACTCTATATACCATATATATACTGCATACATTTACATATACTATATATATATATATATTATATATATATATATATATATATATATATATATATATATATATATGTATATATACACACCTATACATATATGTATCTCTAAAAAGGGAGTACCCCTAAAAGACATGACAGGGCCAGACGGGGGGAGGGTCATCCCAGCCCACCGGGCGGCCGTGACGCAGGTGCTTCAGGTGGGTGCAGCACACGTGAGGCAAATCCAGATGGATGGGGAAGGGGATGGGGAGGGGCCAGAAGAGAGGGGAGGGGGAGGGCCAGAGGGAAGGGATACGTTTCTTTGGGATGGGGGGTTCTAGGGAAGACGGAAAGGGGGAGGGAATAGGGACGTATCCGCTCTTTGCTTCGTGGCCGCCCGCACGCCCGCGCACGAACCGTTTGCGCCTTCCCAGGAGCACTTACGGGCTTGGATACTTACGACCTGACAGTTGAACGGCGTCGTGGGTGATCCAAGGACGCACGGGCGTGCTTAGGGGGCGTGTGGGCGTGTGGGCGGAATGGGGACGGATCGAATAGCCCAGTTAGCTCGCGCCACGCCAGGCTCTTCACGCCAACCCGCGATATGACATGAGATGACATGACGGCGCTCCGCCAGAGTGGGAAGTGACGACTCCTTCTATGAGTGGAGAGGAGGAGGAGGAGGAGGAGAAAGGGAGACAAATCAAGAGAAAGTTTTCTCTTCGTCAGGCGGCGTGAAGTGCAGGGCGGCGCGGGCTGGCAGAGGAGCGGGCAGGGCACTGGCGGGGTGGGAGAGAGGGGACTAGGGACTATGGACGGGGAGGAAAGGGCTAAAGGGGAGACACAGGGTCAAATGACGCGTGGGGGAGGGATCCCGAGGCTTCGAAGGTGTCCGGGAGGGAAGGGAGAGCGGAGAGAGAGCACCAGAGAAGAGACAGACAGGGAAGGGGGCGGTGAGCATGCAGTGTTACTTACGTCCGGTGAAGGGGTGCACGAGAGTGGGGTGTGGAGCCGCCGCCGGGGGTGACTGCTGCTTTGGCTTGCTAACTTTGGTGTTACTTTTAGCAAACTCGAGTCGGATGGTCTGCGGCATGTCCGGGTCAAAGCGCACGCCCTGCTGCAAGAGACACCGGAGACACCAGGCCTATTAACATCCACGTGAGAGCTGCGGCCCGGGAGGCGGACGGCCAACCTCGGGTTTAACTGCTTGCTTGCTTAGCTTTCCTCTGCTTTCGCTTTTTTTCTCTCTCTTTTTTTGAAGGTTTACACGTGAAGGCTCAGGTGCCTCGTACGCTGGATAAGACTCAAGGATGCCGGAAGAGAGGCGGTGAGGGTGAAGGGGAAGGCGGAGGCCGAGGGTGAGACTCGAATAGGAGGCGGAGGCTGAGGGTGAGGATCAGGGAGGGTGGGTCGTCGGAGAGGCGGAGGGGAGAGAGGAGGGTGAGGGAGAGGCGAAGGGTGAGGGAGAGGCTAAGGGTGAAGAAGAAAACCAAGAGGCGGTAGGTGAAGGAATAACTTGATGCCAAAAAGTGGTGGTGGTGGAGTGTTGTTGAAATGGTAGAGCTCAGTAAACAATGTCTGGCGAGGCGGTGGCGCTCGAGTACTGTGAGTCTTGGAGTGCGTGTGTATGTGTAGAGACACACACAGACACATACGTAGACGCACACATACATGGCTCGTGTGTGTGTGTGTGTGTGTGTGTGTGTGTGTGTGTGTGTGTGTGTGTGTGTGTTGTGTGTGTGTGTGTGTGTGTGTTGTGTGTGTGTGTGTTTATGTGTATTTGTGTGTTCATGTGTGTTTCTGTGTATGTGTGGTCTGTGTATTTATGTGTGTGTCTGTGTGTTTATGTATGTGTATGTGTGTCTGTTCGTTCTGTGTGTGTCTGTTTTGAGTGTGTTCTCTATGCGTTTTGAGTGTGTTCTGTGCGTGTGTTTTGTGTGTTACGTGTGTCATATTCATATACGTGTGTGCTCAGAAAATCCGACACTTTAGTAAAAACATCTTAATCTAATATTTCATAAAGGTTATACGAAGTAAATCACACAAACTAATATTGCTAAGAATATGTTTCAAGTTTCAAAACTGACATGTGAATCTAACTTAAACAGACAACAAGAAAAACAAACAAACAAACAAAAAAACAATGGCGTCCACTCTTCACTACCCCCTCCCCTCATCCTCCCCCGCCCCCTCTTCACCCTAAACCTGCCTAAAGTTCACCGCATATTGTTTTTTCTTTTTTTTTTAAGGTAGACTAAATACACAAATCCTACAGCCTAAATCTACAACCCTGTAACTCAAAAAAGAAAAAAAATCCACCAAAGAAGGTTTTCCATATAATTCTGAGGAAACCCTAATGACGTATAGAATAATATATCAGAACACAGAACACCCATTATAAAATTACCCACAAGGCAATACAAAGTAATCCAAATGGGTAGAAAAACAAACCTGGCTTCTACGTATGTTACCCAGTGTATGAAAATATAAATCAATTCCCAGCGTAATACAGGAGTACCCCAGTAGTGCATAAAACGTAATACTAAGGTACCCCCCAGTAGCGTATGAAAATACACTCCCGCGTTATGCAGAAGTACCCCGGAAGTTGATATCCCACGCAGTACAGAACGAAGTGTGTACCCAAAGTTCCCAAGAAGTTAATATTCCACGCAGTACAGAACGAAGTGTGTACCTAAAGTTCCCAAGAAGTTAATATTCCACGCAGTACAGAACGAAGTGTGTATCTTATCGAGGGAATGGGGGAAGGACCGTTGGCCACGCAGTCCCTGGCGCTGTCCTAAGACGAAGGGCAACGCTGGCGCAAGAGGCAGGAGCTCGCGACGTCGAGATTCGTAAACTTAATTTCCTTCCTTCTGAACCACGGAAGAGACCGCTGCGCCGGCCGGGTCGAGGCGGGAGTGTCCATCAAGAGGCATCGTTCTCTCTTTCTCTTTCTTTCTGGCTGTCTCTCTCTATCTCTCTCTCACAGATTCTCTCTTCTTATATCTCTCTCCCGCCATTTCTCTCTTCTTCTTCTGTCTCTCACACAATCTTTTTAACTATCTTTCTTCCATCCTTTCTCTCTTTCTTCTTCTTCTTTCTCTCTCTCTCTCACGCACACACATTCTCACGTCTTAATCATCTCTATCCCCCCTCAATCCTACCTCTCTCTCTTCTTCTTCTCTCCCACTCCCTCTAACACTCTCTCTCCCTCTCCTCATTTTCTCGCTACTGTGGTCACTACTTCAAATTGCGTTACCTACCCCCCTCCCCGCGCCCTTCCAACATATTTCCAGCGTTTTCCCCGGGCGTGGGATGGAAATGTAAAATGTAAACACGTGTAGGCTTGTTTACACTTCCATGTTTTCCCTACCCTTCTACGCCTTCTTTTCGGGCTCTCTTCTTATCCTCCTCTCCTTCGTTTCTCTTCCTTTGCTCCTTCCTCATTCACACACATAATTACGTCATAATATATTGTGTTGAATACGTTCCCAGACGGTGAAGTGTTGC